ATCCAGGTTTCTGTTTCTTGTCTTGCTGCTTTAAGCTCTGCAGGAGAAGGGGAGCATTGGAGATATCAGGTGTGGCAAGAGCAGCCACAAGTGCAGCTGTGAGAGGCCTTTGGAGGTTATTTCAAAATAGTAGCAGCTGATTGTCCACATTAATACCATTTCAAAATAACAATTTTGAAATAAGCATTATTCCTCATGGAAAGCAGGAGTTATTATTTGAAATAACCAGCCTGTTATTTCAAGATAACGGGCTTGGTAGTGTGGTCACTGCACTTGTTTACATATAAATGTGTTAATGGTTCTGGGAGCAGGTATAGACTGTTAATGTGTATTATGTCTTCCGCTTATTTGTGATGGGCCTGTTCCTGGAGAGGTTCTGTGTGTACCTCTACTAGTGACTTTTAGGGTTGCCAGTTTTGGTTAGATGGAGGTTTCATCACATGGCATAATCCTTAATTAAAGATTCATACTTAATTCCTGGAGACTCCAGAGCAATCATAAAAGGACTGATAACACTAGACATTAGACTAGAGAGACTTTTGCACATTGAGCACTTGCAGGACCTGGACGTTTATTGGTGCTTGGTTCTGCAAACGTTTCCCCTGCCCCCCATGTGTGTATTTAGCTGCTTCTGCATGGAGTCCCAACAAACAACCATTGGTGCATGAGTGTTTGCAGCAGGAAGCCCGTAACTGAACAGAAGAAAAATATTAGCATATTTAAAAATGAATTGATTTTATGGCTATGAATTCACATGGATCAACTATTGCCCTTGCATGTGTCCTCCTAAGTAACTTTCCTCTGTAAATCACTTTGGCTATATCTAGACTACACCCCTCTGTCAGCAGAGGGATGTATCTTAGACATTTTGAAAGTGCAAATGAAGTGGGGATTTTAAATATCCTGTGCTTCATTTGCACAATCACATCATGGCGCTGTTTTGATCAAGTGCCGTTTTGAAAGTGAAACCTCAGTTTAGATGCAGTTCTTTCAAAAACAGGCCAATTTTTCGAAAGAACGGCGTCTAAACTGTGTTTTCCCTTTTGAAATGGCGCTTGTTTGAAGAAGTGCCATAAACGATTATGCAAATGAAGCATTGGATATTTAAATCCCCGCTTCATTTGCACTTTCAAAATGTCTAATTTAAATCCCTCTGAAGACAGAGGAGTGTAGACTAGATGTAGCCTTTGTGTTACAATTTCATCTTTTCTCATTTTCACCATGTCCGCTCTCTGGTTTATGCCCCTCCTCCTTGGCAGGGCAGGAAACTCTGAGGGTCCAGTCCAAATTTGCTGTTCACTTTTCTTCTGGTCTTTTTTCCTTTCCATGGGGAAAGAGGGTGTGACGGGGTGACGCAACCCTGCACTACCTTCGGCCACCTCCAGGAGCTGGAGGGAGATGAACTGGTGCCCCACGCCGCCGGGGAGACCACAGCGGCATCAGGTGCACACCACGCAGCCGGTGAGCGGGCACGGGAGGCTGTGGCAGCGGCAGGAGTGCGCCGCGCGGTCAGCAGCTTGGCCAGCGCCCCAGGTGATTTGCCGGGGGAGGCACCGGCGCAAGTGAACACTGATGCCGGTGAGGGTGTCAGGGGTGGAGCCCGCGGGGGTGGGGGAGGAGCAGAGGTAAAAGACGCCAGTGCAGGCATACTGGGGAGGGGGACGGTTGAGCCCCAGGAGGAGGAGAGCGGTGCTCTTGGCATTCTAAGGGTGGCTGGAGCCTTCCGACGGGGAAGGGCGGTGGGGGACCCAGAGGAGGAGAGTCCGGACTCCCGGCAAGAAACGTATGGAACACCAGGGTGAGCGGGGGTGAGGAAGTAGCTCAGGGAGGGCGTAATTGGATAGCCTGTGGGCTGATGAGTTGTAGCAGGTAGCCCCATCAGCCAGGTGAGGGGAAAGAGCCCTGGGCTGGGGTCTGGAGAGAGGGTGGGCCCGGGCCCCGTCGCACTCCGCTTGGGGTAACCATAGGTGTGAATTGGTTAGGAAGCACACGTCCGACTAGGAGGGGCAGGTCGGGGTGGCGTAGGAACACGGAGGCAGAGAGAGGGGGACATGAGGACGTGACCAAGTTGCCCTATGACAGAGAGGGAAAAAATGATGCTCTCAAGCAGCATAGATGGCTCCAGGTTACAGGGCTGTCCTAAGTGGGTGGTTACCCTTCAATGGAGCAAAGAGATAAGAATTTTTGACCCCTACAGCCTGCCCAGTTCATGTCCTGCACTGCTGCTTGACAAAGAGGGAACTGTGCTGCAGATGTAGCTGGATCCCCTTTTTCCAGACCAGAGAGGTGAGATACATTCAAACAAAGTCTTTCTATGTATGGATCAAGAGGCTATGATGGGCCTTTTCTTTTTTTCCATTTAGTGAAGCCCTTTGAGAGCCTCTGGGGAAAGGAACTAGATACATCAGGTGCAAAATATTACTGTTACGGTTAGTTTCACCCTTTTTCTCCTTTCTCTTCCTTTTCTCTTTCCTTTGTCTGCTTCTCTCTTGCAGCTCTACCCTTCTCTACTTTTGGTTATCCCTGCTCTTTCATTTAGCACTTTATTTGTCGATGTTGTGTTCTTTCCTCCTGTTGGAACCCTTCTATCTGATCTCCAGTCACTCACTTTGTTCATACTGTATTAACTATAATGCACACTGACAATCTAATCTGTTAGTAATTGTTCCAATAAATGTATCTAGACATTTCAGAGAGAGTAGACATTTAATCCAAGGACCTTTTCAGAGTCCTCATAATGCATCTTCATCCCATGTATTTAGTACAAGGGCCATATATTATTTTGCATATGTGGGTATTTCCCCAGGCATGTGTTTGGATATCAATTGTCATTTGCTTTGAGGAGTTATTTAATTTTGTTACTTAATAATAATTACACTTTTAAAATATATCAAACAACTCTCATCTGAGGTTCCCAAAATGCCTTATGAATGTTAATTAAGCCTTAATACCTTCGTGAGATAGTGATTATTTTTGGCTCATTATAGGAGGTTAAAATGAAGCACATTCTTCAGGTTAGAAGTTTGCTAAGATTACTGAGGAATTGTTAGAGCCTGAAACAGAACCCAAGCCCTAACTCCTATCCCCTTGCTTTCACAAATTAAACCTTGTTCTTATTAGAAAGTTTACATTTCCATTTAAGTCACATCAAACAGAGGTCCAAAAACTGATACCTGTATTGCACCAAACAACACTTTAGCCCAACTTGACATCAGTCTTCCCTGTATTACTTTATTGGTTTGTTCTTATGTTAACCAATCCTTAGTTCTGAACCATTCTCATTTGCTATTCTTGATGCTTCCTCTCCTTTGAATGAGCAGTAAGCTTTCTTTCCTAAAGAGACAGCTAGTTTGATGTGACTCATTTAATTGATGTAATAGCCACACTCACAGAGTGATCATCATCATCATTAACCCACCAGTGACTGGTTAGTACTTGTAAGGCTCTTGGGCTACTCACAGGAAGTTTACTAGAAAACTGTACTCACCTCACTGTGATTTAGGTTCACACATAGCAGTTCTTTCTTGGGCAAAACTCACAGTAACTAACCTACTGCTCTCTTGGCAAAGCAGGGGATATAGGATCAGTCCCTGGTGAAAAAGCTTCCATGGGAGGGAAGGACTGGAAAGGGTGAGAAGCAAAGTTTCCTTTGTTAGCAGTTAAAATATTAAAATATTGAGCAAAATGATAAGATCATACCCAAGGTGTTTGTGTCCCCTGAATCTTTCTTCATATCAGATGCATGTGTCTGAAGAGGGAAGTGGACAAAGACTTGCACTGATTTAAGTGGAGGGGGAAAGGTTCTCACACTGATTCAATTAGGAGTAGTATATGTTGTAATATAGCTCCAAGGGATAACTGAAACTTTCTGAGACTGCTTTCCCCCCCTCGGCACCCTCACCCCAACCTTTTGGCAGCTGCCACATGGAGTTCATTTCATATTTCGACTGTAATGTAAGTGATATAGAAAAATAATTCTTATTGTGACAGATCCACTGGGTAGAATGCATGCACGTGCTCCTCCCATTAATCATACAATGCAATTGCTCTTAAGCCATTTTCCTCCAAATGGGTTTCCAATAGATGGATTTTCTTTTTGGTTTTTAATAGAAAGTAGTAAATTATTAACACAGAAAATCATCATTCTGCCTGGGAGAAGGCAAATACAGTATGGAAAGTACAAATGTGTCATCACAGCTGTTTTATTAGTTAGTATCGTGGCACAGAGTATAGCATAAAATAAAAGAGACCTTGCTAAAGGAATGAACAAATGAAAGTGCAGATTCTCATCCAGTATAGTATGACTCCATCAACTTCAATGCAATGACTGAACTTGTTGAGAATCAGATCCATAGTGTTTCTCAAAGCAAAAGTTTCCTTTAACTTGAAAAACAAGTATTATTCTGAAAAAAAAATCAGGGAATACT